GAGAGAAGGGGAAATTCTGGTTCGAACTGGAAGTCTCAACATAACCTTCTCCCAGTCGGCCAGACAAAACTTATATTATTAAAACTGATTGAAAATACATATATGCCCTTATTTAAGTTAGGAGCACTAGTTCCAACACAACATTACAGATCAGCAACATTAATCTAAGTATAAAGACAGAAATACCCCTACGCTAACAGTAACAATATCAGAAAAGGATTATTAATAATAACCTTAAAGATGTTTCTGCCGCTAGTGTGAGAATGCACAAATGGAATAAATTTTTCTGTAGGTACGAAATTTTACCACAAGAAACCCTAAACAATTAAAATATTTCAAAAAATAAAATAAAAGAAGCATGCACGGAACTAAAAAATACCTATGAAAATTGACTAAATTTTCAAAGAAGAATAGCAACAGCAAACAACTTAAAGAATCTAGTGATGGATAGAGGAAGGTGCCAGAATGCACCCACTGTTGTCGCCTTAAGCAGGAATTGTTTCAGGGGAAGGGTGGAGAGAAGCGATACGCTGCCTCGGAGGGAAATGCTTGCAGAAAACAGGGAGGTTCTAGACAATTGTAAGACAAGAGATGGGAATGTTGGGAAACAACTGAAATGACCAGAAGTGGCGGCTGAATTGAAGGGCTTCAGGCCAATTAGTTTAATTAGCATAGTCTACAAACTTGTAGCCAAGCTGTAAGCCACAAGGATTAGGAGAGTCACAGGGAAGGTAATTTCAAAGACCCAAGGGCGTTTTGATTGCCAGTGAGCTGATTGGTTCTAGATTAAGAAGTGGGGAAGGTGTGTTACTCAAGGCTGATTTGGTGAAGGCCAATGACCATGTTAATTGGTCTTTTCTTGATTATATGCTAAAACGAATTAATTTTGGGTCAAAATGGTGATCGTGGTGGGCTTCTCTAGGATTATCAATGGTAGTGCACATGATAGATTTTTCAACTCAAGAGGAATAAGACAAGGGGATCCACTTTCCCTCCTTTTTATTTGCATGATGGAGGCTTTACGTAAAATGGTTCAAAAAACAGCAGAAAGAGGCTTGTTAGAAGATTTGAAAAATGATGATAGGACTATCCATTTGTTAAAATTGGCAGACAACACACTTTCTTCTGTAAGGCTGACAGGGAGCAAGTGTTAAATTTAAGCTATATCTTGAAATGGTTTGAGGTGGTTTTAGGTTTAAAAATTAACCTATACAAAAGTGAACTTTATGCAATGGGGTGAACATTGATATGTTGGCTGAATCAATTGGCTGTAAAGTTGGGAAACTATCAACAAGATATTTAGGCCCGCCACTGGGGGAGAAATGTGTTTCCAAATCTATCTGGGATCCTGTAATCAAAAGGGTGGAGACAAGATCAGCTGGATGGAAGAGTAAATGCCTCTCAAAAGGCAGCATAGTCACCTTGATAAAAAAAATAAAAATAAAACTAAGTGTTTTGAGCTCTCTTCCAACTTATGTCTGTCCCTTTTCCCTATACCTTCCAATGTAGCCAAGAGACTAAAAAGATTGTTGAGGGATTTTTTATGGGAGGAGTGTGAAAATGACAAAAAAAAAACACCTAGTAAACTGGAACAGAATTTGTAGCCCGAAATGGGGGGAGGGGGGATTGGGTATAAGAAGGTTGAAGTTATTCAAGAAAGCACTTTGGAGACATAATGAAGATTTGGACCAATATCTTATTATTTACAATACGATTCACAACTTGAACCATGAATCCCAAGGGATTTGATTTGAATCTTATGTTTGAATCCTTTTTTGCAAAAATCCTATGATTTGGTTCATAAATCTTACAATTTATGGGATTCTTACAATTCAAATCAATTCATTTAAGAATTAGTTCTATACTTTGTCACTTTGTTTTATTTATACTTAGTATTTTAGATTTGTCAAGGGTGACTTGTTTTAAAGGCCTTACTAGATATTGATTTATTTACATTATGTAGGACCACACATATTGAGTTTATTTTCCATTATATGTAGGATAAAGAGCCACTGAATGTAGGTTATTTTACTTTCAAACCAAACTTGATTATATCATCTTAGACTCCTATTATATAAGTGGTAAATTGTATATTTTAGGTACATATATAGTAGCTACCGATTAAAAATAGGGTAGGATTACTTTTCTATATATATTTAGCCTCATATTTATATTTAATTGTTTGAAAAATATGCCAAAAAAGTAGAATCACTTTTCTGTTGATCACCTGCGTATTCATTGCACAGTCTCTTCCAAAATCTGGGAGCATTTCCTCAAAGCAAATTGTATTAGTTGGGTTATTCCTTGCTCAGTTAAAGATATATTGTGGTGTTGGAAGCTGCCAGGTCTGAACAAGAAAGGGAAATATGTTTGGAAGACCATTCCTGCAGCTGTCCTTGGAACTATTTGGGCAGAAACAAATAACCGAGTCTTCTGTAACAAAGAAAAAAGTGTGGATGAGTTAATTTGAAGTTCTGTGAGTGGATTGATGTCTTGGGCCACAGTAGTTAAAGAGTTTAAGCTTTGGAGTTATTGCAAAATCTGCACTCTATTAGCGCAAGCACAGATGAAAGCAATGAAAGAAGTTGGAGATGGAGCAAGGATGGCATGTTTTCAGTCGGAACTTTTTATGAGTGGCTCGCTGTATTTGAGGAAACTAATTTTCCTTGAGCTAGGATATGGCATACTGGAGCTCCCACAAAGGTTGCTTTTTATTTTGATTGACTGTTAACAAATTCCTGACTGCTGATAACTTATTCTAGCAAGGTTGCCATGTAGATGATACAAACTGTGTTTGTTGTAAAGAAGAGATGGAAACAGTAAATTATACAATTTTGCATTGTTCTTTTATCAAAAGATTGTGGCTAGGTTGTTTGACCTTTTTTGAGGTACAGTGGTGTTTTCCTGAAACCATGGAGGATGCTGTTAGAAGCTGGTATTTATTTAGCTTGAGTAAGAAAGGAAAAGTGGTTTGGAGAATCATGCCTTTAGTGCTGATTTGGACTGTCTGGGAGGAAAGAAATGGAAGAATTAATGAAAGGAAACAAAAAGAGGGAAGAAGACATTTTAAAAGCTCTATGGGGAAGATTGCACTCTTGAGTGGCAGCTCACAGATTGTTCAGGAACACTCCATATAATCATTTTTGTTCATGATACTCTTTTTGTAAAGTAATTCTTATTGATATTAAAGCATTGGGATGCACAGCTCCCAGTTGTGTTTAGTTGTAATGGCTGTTTTTGTTTCTTGATTTTAATACAATACCTCACACTTTCTTAAAGAAATGGTACATAACAACCAAATTTGACAAAAGAAATGAATACACAGCAACCATTTTTTTGTAAAAGAAACATGGCCCACAACTCACATTACCGAAAAATAGCATAACCCAAAACAGCTGAACTGGAAATTGGACAACAATAATTTTTTCATCTCACTTGACAAGTAAAAGTTGGTTGCATAAGTGGGATTCATATGGGGTCATAAAGAGTATAAGCTTTAAATCACCCATTAACTGCTAAAATCAGAAAAGGTTTCATTAGATTAAATACATGCCAATTGCCAACGTTACTACAACAGAGAAGGTCACTCAATATGCTAGATTGTATCACTATATCAAAATTTCCATTTAAAGCAAGGAGTACACAAATAAGAGCATTTGATGTAAAAATTGTCATTCAAGGTTAGTTCATAAGTAAAGTGAACCCAATCTATCTTAGTTCAAATGACTGGCCCCAGCCCCCAAGTCCTCCTGAGCCAATTCTCCGATGGACATTGAGATCCGCGAAAGAAAATGGAATTGAAAGCATAAAATCCGCAATATAAAATATGGAAGCAAATGCTTAAAATCTACTAGTAATGGAGAAAACAAATAATTTGCAGAGTTAGCTCCCCCGGTTTCATTTTCAACATAATCCAGAGACACCTTAAACAACCCAGAAACAGAACCTTATCCCGAGCATCACAAATTTCCGTCAAAATACTCGAGTCTTTAAAGAATAGCAACATAAGAGAACACGAGAGACTGCACGGAACAGGGGAAAAAGATGCAAACAAGAGAATTTGAACCAAGCGCTGACAACTGACCGATCGTTCGAGGTGAGACTTCGCGTGATTGACATTGTGCGTGTGCTTCAGCAGAAGAGTCGCAATCCGAAGCCGAGTCTTGATCTCGATAATCGGGAGGAATGATACGTGGCTCTGACATATAGCTTCTAAGCACTTGACGGCCTTCCCGATTTCCCCCTTCTTCTCGTGGAAATCGGCGAGGCCCCACAGTCCCTCGGCCAGAGCTTCCATTTTTCGCCGTAAAATAAGAAATTTTACGGCCGGCTAGGGTTCGCCAAAAGGTTTTCGCATGGAGAGGTAGAGAAAATAGCGGGAAACAGAGCTATGATTGCAGAAGTCAAAGAGACACGACGACGGACGGGGTTGCGGTGGGGTGTTGTAGAGAGAGAGTGTATATGTTGTTTTGTGGCTGCACCTGCACCTCCTTATCAACGACCTTGGACCTTTTTAAGCTCAAAGCGCTCGATAACGGCTGCTTGGTCTGAATGACTGATTATTTTTCCTTTTAAATATTTCTTTTTTTCGGCAAAAAAGAGACTGATCCGAATCGCGGGCGTTTATTGAATATAAACGCTGCCACATACGTGCCAGTTCATCATTTTCGCATTAGATACTTGTAAAAACATGCCTTAATAACTGTAAAAACGCTGATACGATGCCTAATAACTCCTAATGGCGCCTAAGTGTCCATAAACAGACTCATTATTACTTTTATCAGTTTTGCAAACAAATTAATAGCATAGATATTTTTTCCCAATAAATGTCCACAGTTAATCTAGCTGGTCATAGATATTTTTTCCCAATAGCATTGATTGATTATTTTCAACAAATATTTGTTGAGTTATCTATATTTGGGGAGGGCTTGTGCGTTGGAGTCGATGTGCCTTGATTCAGTGTGGTGGTTAAGTTATCTATATTCTCGAAAGGTTACCTGCTTATTTCAACTGTGATTCTTGTGTGTGTGTGTGTTTGATAATTATCGTGATTTTTGTGTTTAGACTTTGGAATTGTGTGTGTGTGTTTGGTAATTATCGTGATTTTTGTGTTTAGACTTTGGAATATGATGATCTATTTTTTGGAATTTTTCCAAACACATTTTTCTTACATTCATGTGAGATCAGCTCTTTTTCTTTTTTGGGAAATTTACACACTAGGCACCCACATAAATATTTATCGTCGAAAGCGGTGTACAACGATTGAAATATCCCGATTCCACAAATGGAAATATTAAAACTCAATTCACTCCACTTACAGAAATCCCATGCCATTCATGTGTTATGAAATACCTAAAATGCCCATCGACAAATGCTACATCACCCCATATTCTAAAATACAAAAAATGCCTATTTGAGATGCAAGTGAGCAGTAATTTCCCTTTCCTATTCCCCTATTGAACAGCCTAAACATCTTCGTCAAAAAATCTACAACACAATGCCTTCGATCCTCTTCACCGATGCACACCGACGAAAACGTAGATATCTCCCTCTTCCCCCGTTGAAGTCTAAAATACAGCGCCTTTGTGGGAAAATCAACAATGTCTTCAATTCTCTTCATTGGTGCATATCAACGAGAGCGGAGATATATCCCTCCATTCTTTTTGTCGTGTCTTCTTCGTCGGAACACAATCAAACAACGGGCATACCTACTGCATAGGGTTTTTTTGAATTCATTTAACATATCAATTGAATTCAAATGTATGTTCTACATCAAATTTTTGTGGTGGATTATGCATCTAGTCTTTTTCTTTAATCTTTCGTTGCTTTTCCTAGAATCCCATTGAATCCGCATGCAATTTGGAAAAAAAAAAGTAAATTAGTCCTATTTTTTAGTTGAAATAAAATAAATATACCCCTAAATCAATAAGCTTAACCATCAACCATTTAATATGTACAACCAAATTAAAAGAAATATAAGATACATTATATTATTCGGTTGTAAATTGTTGTACGGATTTACAATTATCTATATGCGTCAAGGAAATACTTACAAACAATGGCATATGGAGGAATTGGCATAAGATGTTCTTAAAACAGCTTAGGGAACTTATTGCAAGGTTGTTCTTGAGAACAAAGCATGTCGAAGCAATGGAAGGTTTTGCAAACACTTCTTGTGCATCCTGTATATCGCATTTGATAAGACGCTTATTCTTAAGCTAGTTCAGTGATGGGATTTGGATAATTCATTCAATCTAGGTGGTGAATCTATACCTTTCATTGAGTGCAACATTATGCTCATATTGGGCCTGAGATTACACGAACAACTCATAGATACAAAAATGGATATTCTGAACTCAAACTTCATTCGTCACTTGTTTGGTGGTAATGCTAATGCATCAACACAATTATTATTGACTTTGGTGGAGTAAGGTTTTGGGTATAGTGCATAAGTAGTCATAGGAAGCCATTAAATGCGTGGTGAAGTTGCTTGTTTGCATCTCTTTGGTTCGGTATTGTTCTCTTAGGGTGGCCCTAAGGTGAGCCTTATTTGGGTGGACTATGTTAATGACCTAGTGCACATTGGGATTATTCATAGGTGTGTTGTGTGTATCAATCCATACTACATGCCCTTAATAGAGTTGCTAATAGTGTTCATAGGTCTAGTATCGATGGTTGAGCACTATATTTAGGCTATGTGTTTGGTTATATTGTTGTTTTGACAGCGGGTGCTAATCTCTCTCATATATATTTTAGTTTAATTTCTCATGTTATATGGCGTTGAACAATTTTGTTTTTGTTATTACTAGAAGAGTAAAATCTTTGGTACTCTTCACTTGCAAGCATAGTTGTACAAGCATAGTACAACGTTCAAGTCTACAGACCCCACTGTCATGCCACGATTATTCAAACGGGGCGATTTAATGTGTAATTGGAGTAACAACAGTACAAACTTCTTAACAAAAATAACCACCGGAATGGTAAGTGCCATATATGAACCCTTGTATATTCTATTCATATTATCATTTGTAATGCCTTGATTTTCATTTAGGTCTTTCCCAAATTATGACTATAGTATTTATAATAAAAACCCCTATTTATTTCTCAAGTGATTGATAACCTAACCCTAGTAGATTATAAATTGAGGTTGCTCAGTGTTGGTTTGTTAGGAGATGAGATGGATAATTCATTTGTAATCTCATACTGAACACCTTATATTACATCATTCAAATATTTTGTTGTCACATATTAATCACTTGTGATTCATGTGGTGCTGTTGGTGGCAATTCATGTGAAGATCATGATGCTATAAAATTTAGTCATTCCAAGTCTATAATTAGATTTTGTTTATAAAATTTGTCTATATGGAGGGTTTGGTTTCACTCACTTAATTTCCTTGTTATGTAAGCCCTCTTGCCTATTTCCACTGCATAGGTTGATGATGGTCCAAGCACATAGAACCATGTAAGTGTTATCTCACTTTGAGCATAACAGTGGTATGCAAAAGTTATGAAGAATTATTTAATTTTATTTCCCTATTTACTTTAACTAATTTGGACGGATGCTCCTGGTGTTGTAGGGCATGTGTCCATGATGTGTTGATTCGATTAAGTTCGAGCAGTTGAGCCAGAATGCCAATTAGGCAAACTCTTGTGTCAGAGAGATTGATCAATTGCAGGATGAGGTTGATCGACTGCGCGGAATATTGGTAGCAAATGACATTGATCTTGATGTTCGACCTAGCGTAGAGACTTTGATCAACCAAATGAAATACAGAGGGAAGAGGTACCACCCTTCGACGATGAGATGTTGACCTCACCACCTATTGGCTAACATTTTGCCTCACCCGTAGTCAGTTAAGGATAGCTTTCTTGCTTCGTACGTTATTGTTTCTCCCAATACTTGTGGTTTGGGTGTGTATAGATGGGGCACACTTTGGAAAAGCGAAAATGTTTTCTCAACAGTGTTGTTGTCTCCCTTTGTTGACCTTTGAGTGATGGTCGGAAGGTGGATAAGGAATTTGCCATTGCGGCTTGTGCTACTCGAGTAGTATGGAAAAGATGAAGTGAAATGTAAATTTCATGCAATGTTATGAATTTATTGTTTACTCATGCATAGTTTTAATATGGCAGATCGAAAATGGTGCATTGGCCTAAGCATCATTTAATCATAAAAATAGTTGTCTACGAATGACTTGGAGTTAATGTGGAAGTTTTCGCACAAGGACAATAGGTAGTAATAATGCAATATGTTTCATTTACTACATAAGCCAAGCACCCATGCCACATATGTACTTAAACTTGTGTATACATTGAATATGGATGAATACGTGTGGAAGATCGACGATCTTTCTCTAAGTAAATTTAACATCCTCCCTATTTTTAAAATGGATGTATGGTTGTCCAAAGAGGCAAACATTAATGCTTGTGTACTTATTTTTTATGAAGTAAGTTGTAATCAATGATATTTGCATGTTTGAAAAACTTGATCAATCATTCTTGCCCATTTAGAATAGGTCATTAATACATGTGTTATCATACTTAAACCGATGAGATGCAATATAGTGAAATTTCACTTCACTGTGTGCCTACATTATCACATGTTGAATATGGTGTGACATTATCGATTATTTGTATGATATGTACATGTGTGTGTATATATGCATATATATGTATGTATGTATATGATGAAGTATTTATTATAATTTCTGATTGTATATTTTAGGGGTATGCAAATGTTGAAATGGCAACAAAGTTGGATCAATAGTTGGCACCTACTGGAAAATGTGATGTACAAAAGGTATTCACCTCCATCATTGAACGCTCACATTGGTAACTCTTGCTAGTAGAACTTGTGAAGAAGAAATTTCACTTTTATAAATGCCATTCTACATGCGCTTTGCAGAAATGATGGTATGCTACTTTCTCGTTGTTTATGTGTTATATGTTTGAATTGTCAGAGTATTTCTTTAACATGGATTTATATGTTGATAAAATAGCAAGAATTTTATAAGTCGATCTTGTGTAAAATTATAAATGACATTGGTGGGTAGCCTTATAAGCCCGTTATTCGGGTCCCAGCAGAAAGTGTACATGTTGTTACCCATCTCTGCAACATGTATATGCTAACGTGTCTATTGAATCCATTGCTAAATATGGGTGTCACTATTTTGCTTGCAAGGGTGATGACTATGTATTTGTCCTAAAGTACATGAGTTACCATTTTAGGTCCTCAACATTCAATTTCTCATCAATATATAGTGAACCTAATCAAGCAACAATTTTATATCATCTATTAATAATTTTAGGATACAATTGGAGTTAATCGATGAGATGTTAGAGCATAAATATTACGGAATAAGATTAATTATATTGCCTATAATTCACCTAGGTATGCCACCAATCATTGTTCTATGTTTCAATTGATTTGCGATAAAGATGCACCACATAGTGTTGATCCATCCAAGGAAAAACAATACGACAGACCACCCAATGGCAACACTAGAAATTTATAATTGTATTTGCGAAGCCCTAAGTATGAGTGGTCAGTCTTTTTTATT